TGGAATTTCAGCTCCTTTTTTGTAGGATCCCTTTTGCAGAGATTCAGTACTTCACGCTTTTTCCTCTTGTTCTAGCTGTAGTTCAGTGGACTGTAGTCACCAAGCATGAGCCAGGTAACTTTATTTGGAGGAGAACTGGTTATCCCCCACTAGACTGCTTGCCTTAGGGATGACTTTTGCAGCAAGCCTATTCTAGCATCACAGCAAAAACTATATGGATGCTGCATTCAATTTTCGAATGCAAAGCCCACAGCTTTTGTGTGGGAGTAGAAAGAATGGTTTTATTTAATGACCTGCTGAGTTTTCCATTTGTTTTATTGAACAAGAACTGGGGTGAGGGAGAAGCTCTGCTCAGCAAAAACCCCGTGCCTGCGCGGTACAGGGTGAGCCTTGGGTCTGCCCTGACTTGACATAACGTGGGCTCGGTGACTGCAGACTGTTTTGTCTGGAGGGCCAAGCCACGCGGCCTCGCTGGAGGAGCAGGGCCTGCGTTCACAAAGGTGTCAGCCAGGCTGCTAGAGGGGGGTTGCGATCATTAAAGTCTTGCTGTTTGGTCGCCAAACTCCCCGGCTCCTGAGCTCTGCCCACAGATTTATAGCAAAGGCAAGTCCTGGGCTTCGCGAGGCATTGATCTGGGTGCGTGGGAACTGTATGGACCATGCACCCGTCTGCTGATTGTTTCAGGGTGGAGACTGGCCGTGGGGCTCCCAGGGGTGTTCCCAAGGGGTACTGCAGTGTCAGCCTGTAATGAGAAAGGGACGCGGTTAAGTGCTGTGATTTTCCTCTGTAGGAAAGAAAGGACCTGGAGAGGATAATTCCTGCCTGTGCTAATGAGACAGTTTGCTTAAGTAAAAGAAAAGAGCATTTCTACATTGCCTCCAACTTTGTTTAAACCCTAGCAATGCCAGTAGCTTATCTGTGGGTGTCCGTCTGTGGTCTGTGACTGCGACGCGGTGGTGCTGGCTGCTCCCATCTGCAGCAGGCACATAGCCGGGTGTCTTGCACGGACCCTTGGGATGTGTCAGTAATCCCCGAGCGTCAGGAGCATGTGCGGCACAACGGGACAAGCCTTTATATGTGTTTGAACCCCAGCTGAGTTAAGCCAGGCCGAGAGAGCCTTTCCTAGCCGAGGGGGAAGCGAGCTGTTCCTGGCCTGGCTGTGTATAGCCACGCACCTTGTCGTTTCCCAGGAGCTAAGGGGAGCAGGGCTTTGGGACGGACTTAAAACCTGCCTGGGATCTTGCACCTCAGCTTGTGGAAGGACTATTTAGGCCAGCTCAGATCTGCTGAGGAGCTGTGTGGGTTGGAGAAGGAGGTGCCCTATGCTGGCCGAAACCCACAGCCCCTACGGGTCAAGCTGCACCTTTGCTGGTTGGGCTTGCGAGGGGCATTTTTGCAGTTTGCAAAAAAAAAAAAACCCACTTTGCTGGCAAAATGAACCACCTTTCTGAGTACCTGTCTTGGACTAGAAAGGGCCCAGGTGGTCAGTGTATGTCTGTACTTTCACAGATGTCCAGGGAGCTCTCTTTATCTTTTTTGGCTAAATAATGGTCCCAGCACACTGCTCTCAAGGCTTCTGTTTTCTGCTGCAAAACTGGCCCTGAGTAGACTGAAAGTGGGGAAGTAGGCTGTTTTTGTTTGGTTTTGGTGCCTAGCAGGCCTGTAGCTCAGCATTGGTTAAAAATAGGTTTGATCTCTTCCTTTTCAAGCAAAAATAAGAATGTCTTTGTCAGGCAAAAGGGTTTGCACTAATCAAAACCATAGCTAAGCTACTTCGCTCACCATCTTGATAAACTTTCTATGTAGATGAGCAGGAGGCCGAAGGAACTGGTCGGATTGGAGAGAAGCTCATTTTTTGGGGAGTTTGGGGGTCTGGGCCAGCGAGGTCTGAGGGAGCGGCTGCATTGCCTCGTTCAGACTCGCTGCGCTAGGGCTGGTCCTAGCAGGACCTTGTCCTGGCCCTCTGACTCGAGAAGGACACTTTCCCAGCACTGCACTCGCTTTTTGGCCCTTCTGACGGGAACTCATGAATTCTTTAGAACCAAGTTAGCAAGAATGAGCCTTGCTAAACTGGTGAATCTAAAATTAGCCTCACCAGCTGTGTTGTGGCTGGCAGGAACATGTTAGTCCAGCTCTTCCCTGCTTCCTTCAGTACAGGGCTGTAACTTATAGCTTCTCTCCTTCTACCCCCAATTTTACCCTGCTACTAATGCTGGTTTGCCGGCCCGTCCCACCATACCTGTGCAAGCTCTCTCTGTCACAGCTGAGCTGGCTGTTACCAGTATTATGAGTCTTGGTGGAGCAGTGATTTAAAATGCTGATGAGTGTCTTTTACACACAGCTCTTGCCCCCCGTAGGGAATTTGGGAACGGAGCATAGAGCAGTCCTCAGCGAGCAACCTGCCCTGTCGGGAGTGAGTTTCTGCCCTGCAGGACAGGGCCAGCCGGTGCGGGGCTCTGAGGGGAGAGCTCCTGTGCAGGGGCTCGGGCGCAGGCAGGCTCGGAGGCAGAAAGGTTTGGCCACAGTGCATTGTACTGTTTAAAACACTGTTTTGAACGTCTCTTGCAAGCAGATAGCAGAGAAAAGGTATTGAACTGTCTCAGTGCAAAGCCTACCTTCTGGGCACTGCTTTCCAGGGTTATGGCCAGAGCCCCGATTCCTCAGCCAGGAGCTTCACTGCCAGGCTGCCCTTCACCTCTATCAGCTGCAGGGCCTCAGCCTACCCCATCTGACCACGAACCCTTCCTGTGGCAGAGCAAACACTCCCTGGGGCCCGAGAGAAGCCGCTCGCCCAGCTGCCACTGCCCCCCAGCCCTGCAATGGGATTATAACCTGGTTTGGGGTAGTTTCTCTTGCCCCTGCTCATGGCATGGAGGCCAACGGCTGGTGCTTTTCAGCAGATTCTTGGAATAGCTCTCAGTCTTCAAATACTCTTAGGAAGCTTTATTGTTTTTATCCAGTCTCCTACACATTATTGTTTCCACAATCTACAGCTCTCTTTTTGGCTAACCTCAAATGAGCCTTCCTGTATCCATCAACAGCTGCTGTGCAGCCGGTGTCCCATGTGAGGCCACCATGGATAACGTCATTATCTCATTTAGTTGTTCAGTGGGTTTTTTTAAGAGTTGATCTAATTTATATTTTTTGTGAGCATTTCTCAATCATTTCCAGCAGGGAAATGGGGAAAAAAATAAAAAACTTTTCCTATTG